TTTCTCAGGCTGGGGTGTACCGCGAGCGGAAACCGCCAATTTTATAGTTAAATTTGAAAAGCGAAATTGTGATAATCATTTTTACGTGTCCGGTAATATACTCGTCGGTTTCAGTTGTGATATTAGAGCCTTTATACAATCATATTTTGTTAATTAATTTTAAGCATCTTTACATTTGTTCATTTTTGCATAAACTGGTATTTTCTACACTAACGAATTTTTCCAAATTTATAAAAGTCTCAATTTTGGCATTTCTCTGCTAGTTTTTCTTGATTTTTCATTCACAATTAAACCAGTTTCATTGACCTAAACAGTTTCAAATTTATTTCAAACACACCTCACACATTTCAGCCAAACACGCCTACCAATTCATACAGTTTCAAGGAGGGACCCGTACGGGACCAAGCGTTGAACGAACCCAACGAAAGGCTAATAATTATAACTTCTTAACATCTTATCAATTTTGTCTTTCGTCTTTTAATTTGTCGAGAGCGTTAACACGCTCGAGATTGGTGGCAGCGATATCAACCATCGCGCATAGGAAAGTAGGAAGTATGGATGGAATTCCAACCAATTAATTGAAATTTAACCACCTAAATCTCCTATCAATTTATATCTTTCCTTTTTACGTTGCGCCGTCGCACGCGCAACGTAACATATGTAAGAAGTTTTTCATTGATACTTTCCAAATATCTACTGGACGAATTGATCATATCCTAAAAGCGCATGAGAATATTGCGAAAGACATGCGTGGAAAAATGGATGGCTCTTGCAGAAGAACTAGTGAGCTAGTGACGAATAGTCACTATACTCGATCCCAAAATCCAGAACGGATGTTTTTAAATCCTGAATTAAACATAAGAAAAATGTATAATTTATACTTAGAAAAATGCAAGGAAAATAACTTGAGTTCAGTTAATGAATGGACATACAGGAAAATCTTTAAACGAGATTTCAAGTTACACTTCCATTTGCCACGTAAAGATACCTGTGCGAAATGCGATTTCTGAAACATGAAAATTAAGACAACAACTGATGACGAAGAAAAAGCGATTCTTGTACAAAGACATGATGTTCACTTGCAAAATGCTGAATTAGCAAGAAAAGCATTACAAGAAGATAAAATTCTGCCATTAAAAAATCGTGATAAATACTTTGCCTTCTCTTTTGACTTACAAAAAGCCTTACCTTACCCCAAATTACCTGTCTCAATCGCATATTATAAGCGAAATATGTATGTTTTAAACGAGGGTTTCCACAATTTCCACGACAATGAAGTTAATATGTATGTATGAGACGAAACTATTGCTTCTAGGAGATCGCAAGAAGTAGCTTCTTGCTGTTTGAGGCATTTAGAAAATGTAACGACCCAATGCCATGTTATTGCCTACAGTGACATGTGTACTGGGCAAAATCGAAATTTACAAATGGCAGTGATGTGGTTAAAGGTTGTCCAGTCGTTGGAAAATAACATTGACATAATTGATCACAAATTTTTACTCCCGGGGCATTCATACCTTCCGAATGATGCAGATTTTAGCATCATAGAAATGGCATTGCGAAAAAAGAATTTTCTGTACACACCACACGATTATTATGATGTAATAACACAATGTAGAAAACATGATAAATTCATTTTACATGAAATGAAACGAGAGAATTTCGTTTCAATAAAAAATCTTAAAAATGCGATAAAAAAACAGATAAGAAAAAACACTAATGGAGAACAGGTAAATTGGTTGCAAATATGTTGGATGAGGTTTCTCAAAAGTGCACCATTCACTATTTTATATAAAACATCGATGAAGGACAAAGAATTTAAAACTATAAATTTATTACCTACACGTCCTGGAAGACCGCTAAAATTTGAAAAAATCGCCCTGGCGCCTTTGTACCAAGATGCCAGGCCTATTACTTATGACAAATATAAAGACATCAAGCAGTTATTACCTTATATACCTCCGGTGCATCATGCATATTTCGAAACACTGCCACATGCAGAGCATAAGTAAATACTATCAATATCTTGTAATTTTAACAATGTAATTAGCGTCTAAAATTAAAAACTGTACGCGTCTCACTCCGTCGGTAACTGTCTCGGCGCTAGTTCGAATTATCGAAGCCCAATTACGCACCAGGTCGATAAGCGATACTCGCGCCGCGATTTCGATTCTGGATCGTTCCGGATAACTTTCGTTATTCGTGCGAAAGTCACCAAAACGTAAGCATCTAAACCGAGCCGATTGAATTCAAAAAACCGTTACCATCCTAAAATTAAAAGATTCTCGTGTTCGTGTTCCGAGAAACCAACACCGTTTTACCACTGGAAAGTAATTTCCATCTGTGTTTGTGTTAGAAACGATTAAATAATTGACGCGCTTGTTAAGTGACTTTATTTAAATACACGAATTTAGCAAGTACATTTGTTCGCTTAATTCCGCCTCGACGTCCAAGTCCTTGCTTAGCCGTGAACCATCGACCGATTGTGCATCAAGTTGTGAAAGTGCACTCAAGTCTTTCCAAGCCTTTACAAATTTGGTCCTTCGAGCCGGATCTGGAATCGAGGAAAAAACCGTTAGTCGTCAAGCGCCATGAGTACCCTTGAAGAATTGTTTCAAAAGCAAACACAAACCATGCGCTCAATAGAACGAGCTCTCGCCAACTTTAAAAAATTGGGGCTGTCTAAAATGACCGCAGCGACCACGCAAAATCGCATGGCGATGTTGAAGGAGACGCATCTCCAAAGTCAAGAATTGGACGCCAAGATCGCCGCTGGGATTGACCCGAAGACCAAATCCAACATGCCGTATTTCGTGGACAATCAATTCGAGAAGTCCGAGGAGCGGTATCAAGAGACTCTGGATTACATGGCGGAGGTTCTTGCCAAGGTGGCACCAGAGTCATCAGCCAGCAACACGGGAATTTCAAATCCGATGACGTCAAAGCCAACGGCCCACCTTCCGAAGCTACAGTTGCCGACCTTCGATGGAGCGTTCGACCAGTGGGAGACCTTCCGTGACCGTTTCACCTCCATGGTAATAAACAATCTTTCTTTGTCGAACGTGGAACGTCTCCATTTTTTGTACGCCTCGTTGACAGGCGAAGCGAGCCGAGCCGTTAAATATCACCCGGTTACCGAAAACAATTTTGAAGTCGCGTGGAAGACGATAACATCGCGGTACGAAAATAAACACCGGTTAATTTCAACCCATTTAAACACACTGTTTTCGTTACCGTCTGTTTCGTCGGAAACACCGCATGACCTCCGATTGTTACGCGACAAAATGAATATGTCCCTTCAAATGCTCCGAAATTTAAATAGACCGGTTGACGCTTGGAGCGATTTGCTTGTTTTTATGGGAGTTCAAAAATTAGATCGAGCTTCGCGCAAAGCCTGGGAATTTCAACTTAGCGATGTTATCGAATTCCCCACCTATACCGAATTCGATACTTTCTGCGAGAAAAGAATCCGCGTCCTAGAAGCGTTACCGGTGACCAGGCGCGAAAAAACAACCGAAACCGAAAAAATCAAACCGAGCAAATCTAAGCCGATTGCCGCCCACTCAACAACCTCCGTGAAAATAACATGTCCGGTCTGTCAACAAAACCATTTAATTTACCAATGTACCGCATTTCTTTCAAAATCGACATTTGAACGTTTCAATTTTATCAAACATCAGAAACGATGCGTTAACTGCTTTTCAACAAAACATTCGGTTACGCAATGTCCGAGTCCGCGTTCGTGTAAGGAGTGCAATCAACGGCATAATACTCTGTTACACTTTCCAACGAAACCGGATGGCGCGCCCTCAACCAAAAAGGATGCCGCGTCGTCTGCCTCAGGAAAAGAAGCAACCACCCCTGATCATGAAGTCGAGATAAGTGCGAACGTTGCGTCCGATACACCAATTAATTCCAGTATTCTGCTCTCAACAGCTCGCGTGCGATTCCACTCGCACACAGGCCGAAGCGTCCTAGCTCGCGCGTTGCTGGACCAAGGCTCCGCGGCGACTCTAATCACCGAGCCGTTAGCGCAGCTGCTCCGTCTCCACCGAACGAGGCAACACACTCGAATTACCGGAATCGGAGGAATTCAGTCGCAATCCAACCACGTTGCTGAAATAACAGTTACGCCAGCCAAATTGAATGAACCTGCATACTCCACAACCGCAATCATCATGCATTCTTTAACCAGGTACGTGCCTTCACAAAAGGGCGCAATCACTAATTGGTCACACCTTACAGAATTGAATTTGGCGGACGAGGACCCCATGAGCGCGGATCCTATCGACGTTATCATCGGAGCCGATTTGTATGGGCAACTCCTACTGCCGGGAGTGAGAAAGGGTTCCGCGTACACTCCCACTGCTCAGAATACGGTGCTAGGGTGGATCCTCTCCGGTCCGGTACAATCATCCATTCCCGTCTCCGTCGGTATCCACCATATCTCCGTCCTGGAGGACCTCGACCAAGATCTGCGGAGATTCTGGGAAATCGAGGCCCTCTCCTCTCCCGTTCTCATGACGCCTGAAGAGAAAAATTGCGAATTACATTTCAAAACGACGCACCACCGCGCTTCAAACGGACGCTATATAGTTCGATTGCCTTTCAAAACCGAACCTCCAGCTAAATTATGAGAATCGCGGTCCGGAGCACTACAAAGTTTCTGCGCGCTTGAAAGGCGGTTATCTCGCGACACAGCCACACTTCGAATGTATCGCGAATTCCTTTCAGAATACGCCTCTTTCGGTCACATGAAGAAAGCCGATCTTCTTCCTCCAACCACGAGAGATTGTTATTATATACCGCATCATGCCGTCTTCCGCGAGAGCAGTGAAACTACTCGCCTTCGCGTGGTCTTTAATGCTTCGCGCCGAACGTCGAATGGAAAGTCCTTAAACGACCTTCTTCTAACCGGACCAAAACTCCAGCAGGATCGTGTCGCGATCTTGATTAGATGGCGTCAATTTCAATTCGTGTACACCGCGGATGTTGAGAAAATGTATCGCCAGATTCTTATTGACCCGCGAGATCTCGACTACCAAAGAATATTGTGGCGGGACTCGCCCCTCCTACCAGTAGAAGAGTATCAACTCCTCACGGTCACATATGGGACCGCTCCAGCTCCGTATTTGGCTCTTCGCGTCTTGCAACAATTAGCCGAGGATGAGGGCTCGCCCTATCCCGAGGCGGTTTCCGCTCTTCGCGAACAAGCCTATATCGATGACTTCCTCTTCGGAGGCGATAGCCTCGAGTCCGCTCGCCAATTGCGAAACCAAACCGTTGAACTATTAGGAAAAGGCGGCTTCTCGTTAAGAAAATGGGCTAGCAATAGCTCTGCGCTCCTGTCCGACATCAACCCTCAAAACCACGGACTCGCGATGAGTAAATCATTAAAAGCCGACGAAATCATATCCGTGCTCGGCATTACATGGAATCCAGCATTAGACCAGTTTCACTTTAAATTAGCAGTACCCACCGAATTGCCTAAGACAAAACGAACAATTCTCTCTACCATAGCAAAGCTCTTCGATCCCTTAGGTTGGATCGCGCCAGTCATCATTGTAGCAAAAATATACCTTCAGACTTTGTGGTCCAGTCAATGTGATTGGGACGACGTTCTTCCAAGTTCCCTTCTCTCGAAGTGGCATAATTTTTACGATCAACTGCCTGATTTGGAACATATTTCCATTCCACGAAAAATTTCTCCGCAAATCATTAAAACTCAAAGCCTGCATGGGTTTTCTGATGCGTCAACGAAAGCGTATGCGGCTGCTGTTTACTCGCGAAGTGTTTTGTGTGACGGCACCGTTAGCATATCACTCATCCTTGCCAAAACTCGCGTAGCTCCACTCAAAACGATCAGCGTGCCCGGATTAGAATTATGCGCCGCGCTGCTTCTGGCTCGCCTCTTAAAGTTCGTTCGAAACGCGTTAAATCAGGAAACGATCGAATCCCACTGTTGGACCGACTCCAGTGTCACATTAGAGTGGGTCAATCAACCACCGACTCGATGGAAAACCTTTGTCGCAAACCGCGTAGCACTTATTCACGAACTTAGTCCTAACGCACAGTGGCATCACGTATCAACCCACGAAAATCCCGCCGACTGCGTGTCTCGCGGGATGTCTATTAAACAATTAAAGGATTACCAATTATGATGGTCCGGTCCTCAGTGGCTGCACCAGTAATCCTCTTGGCTTCATGCGTCTCCTAACCCGATTCTTGCGATCTCGCTTGAAGAAAGACAATCTTCTCTTCCTAGCTTCACTACCTCTTTCGAACAGTGGGATTCGGCAGCGCGCTATTCGTCATGGTCAAAACTCCTGAGGATCACCGCACATTTACTGCATTACATAGACATCCTTCGCGCACGAATCAAAAGAAAACAGGAAAGTAAACTCACCGAATCGAAAATAGTAGCTTCTGCTTCGCCAAACGTTCTGAAGCCCACCGCGATTCACAAAGCTCGCGTATTTTGGTTACGTAGGCTCCAAACCGACGCGTTCCCCGAGGAATTGAGAGCCCTAAGAGCATCCAAGCCGATCCCGAGGACAAGTCCTCTACTTTCTCTCGTACCGTACCTGGATGCTGACGGCTTAATGCGTGCAAAAGGGCGCCTTGCTAAATCTCAACTCGCTGAAAATGCAAAAACCCCCATTATCCTTCAATCACACCCGCTCCTAACATTGTTAATTGAAAATGTGCACCGTAATCTATTACACGCGGGACCCAAGCTCACGCTCGCCTACCTACGAAATGATTTTTGGATCGTACGAGCACGAGCTACCATTCGAGGCATTTTATATAAATGCGTCGCGTGCACACGCGAGAGAGCCGACGTTCCCTCCGAGCTCATGGGGGACTTACCAGCACCTCGAGTTACAAGGGTAGAGCGACCATTCACTCATACAGGCGTGGATTATGCAGGTCCGATTCAAGTAAGAACCCACTCTGGCCGCGGACATAAATCACATAAGGCGTACATCGCGGTATTTATCTGTTTAACCGTTAAAGCAACGCACCTCGAATTAGTAAGCGATTATAGTACGTCCGCTTTCTTAGCAGCGTATCACCGATTTGTGTCTCGCCGCGGGATTCCAAGAGCAATGTACTCTGATAACGGGACAACATTCCAGGGAGCGAATCGCGAATTGTTAACCGCCTTTCGTTCTGCACTCAAAACCGCCGATTTCGGTAATAGATTAGCAACAGACGGAGTCGAATGGCACTTCATGCCCCCGAACGCTCCCCACTTCGGCGGATTGTGGGAAGCCGCGGTTAAAAGCGTCAAATACCACCTAAAGCGTACTATCGGCGCACACACACTCACGTTAGAGGAAATGACTACCGTTCTATGTCGAGTCGAAGCATGCCTCAATTCGCGACCGCTTGGAACCGTCTCCGATAATATTGACGATTATCACGCGTTAACACCCGGTCATTTTTTAATCAACGCACCACTTGTAACTCCGCCCGAACCGAGTATATTAGATGTAAAAGACAATCGGCTATCTCGCTGGCAACTCTTACAAAAGCTCACCGAAACCTTTTGGAAAGCGTGGAGCCACGATTATTTGCACACTCTGCATCAACGACCAAAATGGCAAATTAAACAAAACCTCACCAAAGTAGGTCAACTCGTGCTACTTCGTAATCCGACTCTGCCGCCAAGTCGATGGGAGATGGGACGCATCACCGCCTACCATCCAGGGAACGACGGTCTTGTCCGCGTCGTCACCATCAAAACTGCGCAGTCCGAATACACTCGTCCAATAACGAAGATCTGCTTTCTTCCCGTCACGATCAACGCTGAAACTGAGAAATCTACGACGTCACAGAGTAATGCGTAGTTCGGCCTCCACACATTCCGTCGATCCATTGCGTCATGCGATTTTCTTAAAACCACCGATTTGTTTAGTCATATCTGAATTGTACTTACCACCGGCTTCGTCCAGCGAAATGTAATCACACCAGCGAAATGTGACCACACAAGCGAAATGCAATCACACGAAATTCCGTGGTTACAGTATACACGCGTAACCTCCATGTTGCCGTAGTGGCGTCTCTTATTGAATGAATTCATTCAACGGGGGGCGGCGTGTACGCGTCTCACTCCGTCGGTAACTGACTCGGCGCTAGTTCGAATTATCGAAGCCCAATTACGCACCAGGTCGATAAGCGATACTCGCGCCGCGATTTCGATTCTGGATCGTTCCGGATAACTTTCGTTATTCGTGCGAAAGCCACCAAAACGTAAGCATCTAAACCGAGCCGATTGAATTCAAAAAACCGTTACCATCCTAAAATTAAAAGATTCTCGTGTTCGTGTTCCGAGAAACCAACACCGCTTTACCACTGGAAAGTAATTTCCATCTGTGTTTGTGTTAGAAACGATTAAATAATTGACGCGCTTGTTAAGTGACTTTATTTAAATACACGAATTTAGCAAGTACGTTTGTTCGCTTAATTCCGCCTCGACGTCCAAGTCCTTGCTTAGCCGTGAACCATCGACCGATTGTGCATCAAGTCGTGAAAGTGCACTCAAGTCTTTCCAAGCCTTTACAAAAACACTACTTCTATTTTATGTCGTGTCATTATTTGTAAACAAAATTGGATTAATATAAAGTATATTTTAAGTGATATTTGATTTTTCAAAATTCAAATTAAACGATTTTGTTAGATTTAAGTAAATTTAAAGATAGGCTTTGAAGATGGCGCTCTTGAGTTTCCGTTTGTTTAGTTTTCTTTAGTTTGGTACGTTGGTGACGCGGTTTTTACTGCGTCCTATGGCTTCCCCTACGTTCGATAAGTATAATCGATTAAGGATCTATTCTAAGACATTTGTTCGAAAATGTAATTTCTATCGCCTTCACGCGGACCGCGGCAGCACTCTGCAGCGCGACCGGCAGCCACCTTGGATGCCGGTCAGGCCGACCAATCAGCATGCGTTACGTCAGCGAGAAGAAAGCCAACGGTTCTCGCTGCGACGAGGCTGGTTGAGCGGCCATTATCGTTCTGTTTCTAGTAGAAGCTACCACGTGCGAAATAGCAATTCAATTTTCCATAGTTTCATCTCGATCTCAAGCGCCAAAACTCTCGCAAAATACTCGCGATACTCGTGCCGACGGCCTACGCGACAGCGTGAATTGCACACTCGCTTAAATCCACGAGATTAATATAATCTCGTGGTGACCACGTGTTGCGCCAACACGTGGTTCTTTACACATCTCGTTTCAAGCTCGATTCGACGCGACGCGAGTGAATTATACGAACTCAATCTCAACAAATTACATTGTTCGACGAACAGACCTTTGTAAATAGTGTACATATTTGTAAAATATATGTGGTGCTCGTGAATTTAGACAATTAACTTCCTCTCACCGCCATATTCCTACAAACCGTGCGAATCTTCGAACTCGAACTCGAACAACATTTTATTAATTATAATATACAAATCTGGTACATTTATCTTTATTACTATCCTAAAGACTTACCTACTTATATATATATGTGTATAATATTCTAAATATGTTTATATAATAAAAACATACAAATTAAAGAACATTACAAGAGATTTTTACAATTGTCTAATTTTGAAAGTGGTGTAAGTCCATTTGCAGCCCGTAAGTATACATCAGTTTAGTAAAATACGCCTAAAACAAATTTATATAACCAAATTACATATTGATAAAACAGTAGAAACATTGCCAGACTTCATATAATTTGCCTAAATTTTTTAATTAACAGATATGTTAACATCTAATTTTCTCGACACAAGAGAAAATGGACTTACACCACTTTTAAAATAAACGGTCCAAATACTGCTCGTTCCACTAAAAAGTGTGAAATAAAATAAATTTTAACAAAAAAAAATCCGACATCGAAATGCACTAAAAAGTATAAAATAATTTCTATTTCATTTATACCAGTATTCAATAGCTATTAATAAAATCTACTTAATCGTTAAATAGGATACTAAATACATTTCAAAGTTTTCGGAGGCGGCGCAAAATTAAAAATACCCGAATATACAATCCTTCCAATAACAATTTGATTGCGGTATGGTAAACTTGGTAACTAATAAGTCGTACGAAAACAAATTCGAAACGTTATAAATACGGCAGAAAACATTTGTAATTGTAACGATTGTATCAGAAGTTGGTGGCACTTCTGATATACAGGGTGTAAAAAAATTAAATGTCACGAACCATGTGGGGTGATTCTACACCTCTAGACCGGTGGAGATCTGTCAAAGAAAGCGACCGCAAAATTGACCTTGACCCCTAATTTCAAGGTCAAATTTTTTTATTGGCTTATCGTATAGTGCTCATCGAGGGGATAAAAAGTCTGAAAGGAACCATGTGCCGGAAATCAACCCTTCCCTTAGAAAAAAGCCGTCAAAGTTTCCCTATACGTTAATGCACTATACGTTGAGTCGCGCGGTACCCCTCTCCAGTGATCTTGGCGCGTCAGTCCCGCATATCGCTCGAATTTCATGCTATAGGACAATTCTTGAATTTCAATCACAATGCCAGCATATAGGAAGGGTAAATTCTAAGAGAGCATATTTAAAAAGACAAAATAACTACTGCGTTTAAATGGAAATAAAAATGAATTTAATCGAAACATTCGTAATATAATATAGAATGATACAGGTATAATAATAGTATAATATAATATATAAATAACAATAATAATATAAAAAATAATAATATATAATATAAAATAATATAAAAAATAATAATATGTGATACAATAATTTAATTAAAATAATTTGATTATTCGTTGACGGAGGGGTGTGCTATTGACGAAACGGGACGAAATTACTTTAGCTCGTAAGATGACTTAGTGCTGAACAATGGAAGACGATTACACCTCAACGAAATTCCTGATAGACGAGATTTTGCGCGACTAGATTATCAATTCGGGGAGCAGGAAATCGTGATGCAGCTTACTACAAGACGTAACGGAGCAGGTCGACCTCGAGTGCATTGGCAGAAAGAAGAAAAAGTTATAGCTCTCGCAAGAGCTTATCCACTGATGGGGTTACGGAGCATCGCGAGAAGAGTAGGAATCTGGCACATGACAATGCGGCATATAATACGCGAAGAAAGTCTGCGACCATATAAAATTCGACGTGTCCAAGCCCTACGCCCTAATGATTATGCCACACGGCGAGAATTTTGTAACTGGATGTTACATAAACTGCGACACGATCCACGCTTCTTGGAACGTGTCCTATTCACGGATGAGAGCAGCTTTTCGAGTAGCAACATCCTCAATCAGCAGAATGCAAGGATTTGGGCGTACCGCAACCCCCATGCGATGATGGAGCAATTTAATCAAAGAAGATTCACCGTTAATGTCTGGGCAGGCATCATTGGCAACCATATTATCGGCCCGATCTATTTGCCGACACGGTTAACCAGTGCAACATATCTTCAATTTCTAAGATCGAAACTCTTAAGTGAACTGCACATCATTCTGCGAAGTCAACGGAATTCAACCTATTTTATGCACGATGGTGCTCCACCGCACTCCAGCCGTATGGTGCAACAGTTTCTAAATCAAATGTTTGGATCGCGGTGGATAGGACAAAGACCTGCTCCCCATGTGTGACTTCCCCGTTCACCGGATTTGACACCACTGGATTTCTTCCTCTGAGGAGTCGTGAAAGACATCGTTTATTGCTCAGGTGGAGAAATTACATCGGTCCCACAATTGAAACGACGGATTGAATATGCATTCAACCAAATTAAATTAACTCGTAACATCGGCGAGAAGATATGAAGAAATATCGAGCAGCGTGTGCGTGCATGTTTGTGCAACCGTGGTGGTCACATCGAAGCCGGCACGCAGGCACGTCTTCTCCGTGCGATTCGCCAATCCTTTGTGTGCGCAGAAGAAATAGAAGCCTCAGCGGGGATGTGTTATCATCACCTAAAATTAAAAGTAATTAAATATGGAAAGAACAACTTTTTACTACTATATTGTGTTCTACTTACGAAATGAATCATTCAGTGTAGTCACCGTTAGAATGAAAGCTGCTCTGGCTCGTTCTGCAAAAGGCGCTGTAAAAGTTTTAAGACGGTTAGACTTTTTCTCATATATAAAAAATATTTTTTACTTATAATATTCTATTTTAAACACACTTACTTAATGCTGTTGCCTTCTAATTCTTCTGCGTACCCAAAGGATTGCACCGTTGTAACGAATCGTACGCAGAAGCCGTGCCTGCGTGCTCGCTTCGATGTGACCACCACGGTTGCACAAACATGCACGCACACGCTGCTCCATATTTCTTGATATCTTCTCGCCGATGTTACGAGTGGATTTAATTTGGTTGAATGCATATTCAATCCGTCGTTTCAATTCTGGGACCGACGTAATTTCTCCACGTGAACGATAAACGGCTCCCCAGCGGAAGAAATCAAGTGGTGTCAAATCCGGTGAACGGGGAAGTCACACATGGGGAGCAGGTCTTTGTCCTATCCACCGCGATCCAAACATTTGATTTAGAAACTGTTGCACCATACGGCTGGAGTGCGGTGGAGCACCATCGTGCATAAAGTAGGATGAATTCCGTTGACTTCGCGGAATGATGTGCCGCAGTTCACTTAAGAGTTTCGATCTAAGAAATTGAAGATATGTTGCACTGGTTAACCGTGTCGGCAAACAGATCGGGCCGATAATATGGTTGTTAATGATGCCTGCCCAGACATTAACGGTGAATCTTCCTTGATTAAATTGCTCCATCATCGCATGGGGGTTGCGGTACGCCCAAATCCTTGCATTCTGCTGATTGAGAATGTTGCTACTCGAAAAGCTGCTCTCATCCGTGAATAGGACA